CTCATTTCCTGCGTGTGGTTCCGGTCACCAACTTTAGCACCTTGTCTCAAACAAAGATAGTCCCACTTCTGCTGAACAAGTGCTCCAACTTCATATAGAAGGCATCAAGATCATGAGTCTTGATCGTAGAATGCTGGGTTCCCAAAAGGTCAGCCAGTGAGGATAAGTTGCGGTTCCGCGCATGATTTCTCTCCCTTCCTCCTTGGCATTGCAGTCAACAGCAAGATGAGCTCAAATGCGACATGCATTTTTGCTCGCTCATTGTGTCGCTCTATGTGACCCCACAGCCCTGACAGGTCTTGCTTTCGAGTGGCTCGCGCACCCATGATACACAAATAGTAGTGTACTTCGGAGTGACGTGGCACAAGAAGGTATACCCTGAGCAAGGGATTCCAAGGTATTCCCTGCAGAACACGGACACTCCGCTGTTTCGTAGACTACACGAAGTTCTCGCAAAATAGATGCGTGACAGCTTTGTCAAGCAGGTTTTGTCATGGAATCTTCAGATGATGTGCAGGCTGGCATGTGAAGAGCACAGCAATGCCGCAGCTTTGAAACATTGACGGCTTGGGTACTGTGGATATGCAGAGCACTCGCATCCTCTGTTTGCTTTGGGCAAGTTGTCATCTGCCATCGGTCAACGCTGTGATCTTGATGACATGGACACACAAAACCAGACTCCAATCGCTTGCCCTGAGCAGTTTGGCGACGGCACTCTGGTATTCAGCTCTTCAATGGGACACGAGGCCTGCTCCGTCTTACCAGCATCAAAGGGTGGGGAAAACAATTTGGGAGTCATGCATGAAAGGCAACGTGCGAAGCATTATCTTTGGAGAAGATGTCCATATGACATATGATTTCATGGATAAAGCGCATGTTGCAGCCTTCCACTTACTGGTAGACAAGATTGCCCGACTGCGGTCGATATTCCAGGAACGATGCAGGCTTTGAAAGCCGGTGGGTTTGGAGAACCTGGGACTTAGTTGCCCAACATGTTCATGTTCCTTGCGTGAGGCCCTCCATTTTGGTATTTCTGAAATCAGGCCCCCATACATACCCCCAAAATGGCATGTAGCTTTAGTCAAGAACCCCAAGCAAGGACCGAATATCTTGAGGAATGTTGGCCTCCTTTTCGTCTGCAGGAGGGTTTCTAGATGTTCTCGATTTCCTCTTGTTTGGAAGCTTGAGGAACAGATGCCGTGTCGGCAGCTACGGCTTCTCCGGCCCGGTGTGGTTATCGTGCACTGGCCTGCACGAGAAAAGCAGAATTGTTCTATTGTGTAATTATTCCGTATGCGGTCTGGGTACAGGGGTCAGGGGTCAGGGTTCATAGTGTTTTAGGCGGATTGCGATGTAAAAATGAGATACACTACGCGAATACAGCAGCACGGTGTAGTTCTAGACGACGGCCTGTGCTAGCTGCACAAAGTCGTTTTTTGGACGCCGCATTTGCCAGTATGCTTACAATCTTAGAAGACAAAGGGCGGTCTTAGCATCTGGGGCGAGAGTGGGGGAGGGTGGCACGAAGAAGGGAGATGTGGACAGAAAAGTGCTACGAAGATGTAAGGGTAACCGGAGGATCTTGCTCGCAGTCGCAGTCACAGCTGGCTTGCTGTCATTCGCGAACATCCATATCGGACAGATTTGGTTGGATGTTTGTTTCTTTTTTGGGGGTCCCTTCTTTTTTGTGGGGTGAGGGGCCTTGGTTCTGTAGATGCAGGCCATGAAGGAAGGACGGAAGAGCTGGAGTGTGGAGTAGGAGAGGGCAGAAAAACAGATAGACATAGAGAAACCAAGATAGCAAGACCGAAGAAGAAGAAGAAGAAGACTGAACAACCAAGAACAATACAAAGGATGACAGAAAGAAAAGAGAGAAAGATGTATAGAAAGAAAGGGAGAAAGAAAACAACATTGGCACTTCAATGCCCGTGTTTTGTCTGTTGAAAAGTAGGGAGCGCAGATCGTCAATACTCCAGTCCTGGTGACTGTTGAACTTGGAACCGCTCTAGGGCCACGGGGTGCAAGACGGGCATCTCTGGGTGCTAGTACGGCCTGTGGAAGAAGAAGGACACGAAAGCAATAAGTACACACAGAAGCTTATTCGTCCTGCGTTCTTATTGCTAGTTACTAGATAATTCTTACATCTATGACTAGTGTTGCTTTGTTGTGGTTAATATGGTTGCATTTATTGCTGTCATTATTATCGTTGCTTGACATGTGGTCCATCATATGTCATCATGGTTCACCATTTTCATTATGCTAGATTTCTAGCATTACTTTATCAACATCTCTCCATCACATGTCATCATGTTTCATCATAGTTCATCATATTTCATCAGTTGCACATTCTTCATGTTGCGCCGCTTTTTGTCAGCTTCCTCATCTTTCATTATGTTCATACCCATTCCATGGAAGTTTCTATGGCTTGCATCATCTCGTATGACCTTATCATGATTTCCAACATCTTTCATCACAGTTCAGAGTCTTTCAGTATGTTTCATTCTGCATCATCTATCTCATGACATTTCATCATTTTCAATCATTTCAATCATTTTTCATCACTTTTGAGCATTGCTCAGCATTCGTCATTGCTTTCGTCATATTTCAGGACTTCGAATCTGTAGGGAAGTCTACATGTTGGCTTGACGAGGCACCTGCAAGGGTTCAGGCCAAATCAGGAACCGACCACGACGTCTTCAATGTTGCACGTGGAATTTGTCATGTTCTGTGTCAGGGCTTGGAGTCCGGCAGTTGGATTCGAGCCTTCTCGTCATGGTTGGTCAACAGGATGTGAATGGTGCAGTTAGTTCAGCAGAGTCTGCTACGCTATGTCTGGAAGCGCGTCTTTCAAGTAGCGCTGGGGGTTTCTCAATATGATATGATCCCTACAAGGCCCTTGGCAGAGAACCCGGTATTCCCCTATACTATCTATCCCCAGCATCGTTATGCGCACAATACTTGAGAAGCCCTGAACTGCTGCTCGGCATTTTCTTCAGCTGCGCTCTCCATACATGTTCTTGTGACTATGTGTAGAGATTTCGCAAAATGCAGTACCCGGTAGCCTCAACATAATCAAGGGACGCGTGGGGATGAAATAGGGAATATGTGGTCTCCCATCGTGGTGCCTCTGCTGCATTTGAATTCCCCAGGTGCCCATACACGCGACGACGCTGGGAGAGCTCGGGCACCGAGAGTGATAGCAACACTTCTTGTCCGAGTCAAGGCAATGCTTTGGGTCCCAGTTGAGGCAATCATTGATTCCTTCAAAGCTTCTCATGTACGAAGCGCGAACAAGCGACCACGTACCTTTCCCGCCGTAGCGGCCACCTGGAACCCTGTAGGCAAACATGTCCACTCCCCAGCCCGGTCCGAGTTGACAAACCATGTGATCCTTTGCGCTAGAGCTGCCTGTGTGTGCTCGCACAAACTTTGCACGTGTAGCAGAGTGCATCAGATTAGCGAATGCCTCCCGCCAATTTCTTTGGCTCACAGCGTGCAGCCCTCGGCTTTGCTACGACGGCCCCGCAGAAAGTCCTAAGTTGCTCGTCTAAACTCAGTCTGCGTTGTGTGCTGCAAGTTTGCTGGTGTTGAGATGCAAGTGACGCGCAGGACGGTCTGTGCCATGGCCCACATTGCTTAAGATCTTGCCACATACTGCAAGCATGTCCCCAGTTCAAGTTCCCAGAGCACAGCAAAGTTTCTGGCTATCTTGATCTATTGCACTCAGTGTGTCTGGGGCCTTGACCTCGATTTAGAATCTGGAGACTTCGAGGCAGAAGCCATGAGCCTCCTGCGAAATGCCTCCAGGAGACCAACTTGAAGCTGCAGCTATTGCCCTTGAGTGCTTTTTTGTCAGTACTTTGGGGTTTGGGGGTTGCTTCTGTGGAGTGTTTGCTGCCACCAGTAGGAGTGCTACCTACAGCTTTTGCGGTGGCATTGATGTAGTGGGCAGTTGCAGAACAGACAGTTCCAAATTTGCCCTGCATCATCCTTGCTCACAAAAGCTCATCGTCAGAGAGAGCTTCATATACCCGAACGTGAACTGGATAGTGGGGGTCCTGGGGGATGGGTGAAGGGGGTGGGACAAACAGGCTAGACTGCGCCTGGGCTGGGTTTGGAGGCAGGTCCTCTGCAGGCGTCCCTTTTTAGGGGGTCTTCTGGGCGCGTCTGGCGGCCTGCTGACCTGCTGCGCCGCCGAACAAGCCGTACCGTACCATTTCAACTCGCTCTGTAGAAAAACATTGTGAGCGCTGAACTTTCGTTTCTGCCCCTGGCTCTCAGGTAGGGACTCGGATGCCAATTGTGTGGGAATGGTACCCAGTACAAGCATGCTACGTGTGCCTTGCTTCGGAAGGTAAAATTAAACGTAGTATACTGCGCCGCAAACAGAGAACTGACTAGCGGGATCAAGTTCGCAAGGGAGTCTGACAAAGAGTCTTTTACCACAAGCCATTCCATTGCAATTGCTCTGAATCGCACCCTCCTCCTGCTGCTCCTCCTGCATCATAGGACTTAGGGCTCCTTTCTGAGTGCTTCTACATTGGTATACTTAGTGATCAGCATGAAAGCCGCCTGCGTCCAGGATTGCCCAGGCCGGCCTCCGCCCAGTTGCGGGACTGCGGACTGCGCCCCTCCGTGCTGGGCACCTAGGGGAACAGTGTTTCTTTAGCCTCAACGGTTTAGGTGTTTGGGGTATGATTGTAATCTGCTTGAAATCCTTATGCAACATATGTGGGACATGGCCTAATTTGCGTCTACAATATGAAGCTCGTTTGTCAGGTGCGTAGAAGTCGACGCCCCTCCAGTACAACTGAAAAACTAGCTTTTTGTGTGAGGAGGTACATTTGGCGGTGGCTTGCCTTCAAGGCTCTAATATCTCCGGACCGTGTTTCAAGCCGCAAAAAGCTCAAATTAAGATCATAATCAGTCAAATCATGCAAAGTTTGTGCTGTGCTTCGTGTGGATACGACAATGATATCTGAATAGCACTTCGTCCCAAGGCCCCGATGGGCATGCTTGCTCCCCGCAGCTTTGTCACCCGCTCACTGCCGCGCTTGGGGCACAACCTGGAGGCTCCCGACTTGCCAGAGATGCAACAAGGCTGATGGCTTTCAGGGTGTAGGATTTGGTGTCAGCGGGCAGTTTTACGACGGTTCCGCTGTTTTGGGTTTCCCGGCCTGGATTCAGAAGTTCTCGGATTCTCGGGCAATGCAGCGCATGTGACAAGAAACTCTCGTAACAAAGCGTTATAGTTATAGGTTGAGACGTAGCGGACCTGGAATACCATCTTGTTGGGCATACACACCATGGCGAGATGCAGTACAGGTGCCGTTGTGTACTGACGCTCATCCTGATGATATGAGTCGCGGTCAAAATTACCGTTTACATCATTTAGTCTAGGCGGTAGTTGTTGCGCAAAAATCCCCAAAATCGATAGGGGACGTCCTAAAACTATAGGCTTATTTCATTTGAGCTAGGGTTAAGAGAAGATCCCCAAAACGTGGAAATCGATAGGGGACACCCTAATTAAAAAACCAAGAGAGAACGAACAAATAATTTTGACGCCGCCTCATATGCATACGCCACCATCAGCGGTTTGTTTGCAAAATCAAGCTGTGTTCGTTAAGAAGGCGGGACCATGACCGAATGCTGTTTCGGTTGCAGCGCCTTGCTTCAAGAACGGTAGGCTGGCCGAGTGGTCCTTGCCTGAAATGGTATTGGATGCATTCTTCCAGCCTGCAGCCAAAATTTTCTGCAATGTGCCTGCATTGCTTGGCGCTTTGGATGAGCTAGTTTCTGATTTCTCCGAACCCTCAAACCAGAGGGGTTTTCTTGGAACGCAGCATTGGCGCAGCCCACTTCGCAAATGCTTCTGCATGGAGGGGCAGGCTGAGATGCTGCAAAGCACCGTGCATGTTGCTCAACAAAAAGATTGCCACTGCCACACAGCACCTTCGAGGATATCTTCAGCGAAAGAGGTTGAGTATGATGATCGCAGCTGCCAGGCTGATTCAACAACGTTTTCGCACACATGTGGCTTGCAGTTTGGACGACAAGATGGCAGCCATTGGACTGGAAAGGATTTGCTTTTGGCGAAGTTCGTGGCCAGGGCGCCTCCGCTTTGTGCAAGAAGCCGCAGCAGATGGCTGGATGGTGGCCTTGAAATCCCCCAGGCCCGAGTTCAAGAACGAAAGTGCCAAAAGGGGTTTATAGCACGAGCTGAGAGTGCTGGAGCTATGCCGGCACCCAAATGTGGTGATGGTGTACTGCTTGATTCCAGCAAGTCCGCAAGGGTTGGTCATGGAGTTGTCGGGCACGACCTTGCCTCAGTTTGCCGAGGGAAGGCCAATATTCACCAAAGACTACGCCCACATATTGCACGCGGTTGCTCAAACTTTGCATTTCTTGCAGCGGCTTTGGGTCCCGCATGGCGACATCAAGCCCTCAAACGTCTGCCTGAGCTATGAAACCGAATGGCCATGCATCTTGAAACTGGTTGGTTGACTTTGGAGTGGCTCAGCAGTTGCCTGCTGACTGTTTCTGCGCACAGAAACTGGGACTGTTTATTACTGGTCGCCAGAAATCATGGCATCACCCGCGCAGTACGACTGCAAACGTGATATTTGGAACCTTGGCATTTTGTTGCGCGACTTGTCCTGCAGCTCAGAGAGCGCATTGGCACTTTCAACAGGGCCTTTAAAAGAGGATTGCGATGCCCGACGAGCCGCGGATGGAGTGGTGCTGCTTGCTTACAAACTTAGCAAGACATCTGCGAAGGCCAAAAAATGTGTCTTGTTTTGCCCAGCCGCAGATGTAAAAAGGTTGGCGGCAATGAGCGCTTAGCTGGCCCATCATGAGCATTATGTCCATTGCAGCATGGCCTCAAAGTTACTGTGCAAGAGTTCCTTCCCTTGCGCTCGCAATGCATACTTTGCTTTGGTCGCCTTGGCAGCGCGCGTGCAACACTTTTAAGCTGCAAACATCCATAACTCCCAAATCGGCCCCACCCGCATGCACATGCTCGACCCTACATGCGTGTATAAGTATGCATGTGTATATATGTACGTATGTATATATGTATATATGCATATATGTATATATGTATATATGTACATATGTACATATG